AATGGCACATTCATGAAATGGTACAATTTTTCCTGTCCCCTGCTGGGGAGTGAGAGGAGAGGGAGGTGAATCCCTCTGTGCTCAACTGTCTGCCCTCCCTTGCTCAGAGCCCTCTCTTCCTGCTGCCCGACTCTTCCCATGACTCTGCTCTGGCCATTCCCTGCAGCCATGGACAGGGACAGCACATGGATAGAGGAGTGTTCCTGAGAGCACAGACATCCAGAGGGGATGGAGAGACCATCAGACATCCAGAGGGGATGGAGAGACCATCAGACATCCAGAGGGGATGGAGAGACCATCAGACATCCAGAGGGAATGGAGAGACCATCTGGACCTGGAGAACAGCAGGGGAGCAGAACCATCCCAGGAGCAGGAGGGTTTAAGGCAGGCAGGGCAAGAGGGGAAGGAGCTCAATTTGAAGAGAGTCCTCGTTGGTACAAGACTTGGGTGAGCTGGTGTGTCACAGAAGTGTTCTCCTGAAGTCCAGGGACAGCGCTCTGAGGGCAGTAACAGGCCTTAACTGCCCTGAGCAACCTTCCCACACCTCTGCCCATGGCACAGGGACTCTGCTTGAGCTCAGGGCTGGGCCTTCACCTCCTTCCTGTGCTTTGCTGCAGCTGCCCCCGTGTTCAGATGTTCCTGAATTGTTGTTTGGATTCCCCAGGTTCACCTTGGACCTGACTTTTCCCTTTGCCTTTGATGACCACGGGGCTGTTGATGGGGCCTGTTGCTGTCCCCCCTTTGCTCACCCACATAGGTGCACCCAGTCCCTTCCCCCAGGGAAGAGCCCAGCTCTTCCTGCTCCCCAGCATCCAGTTCTTACAGGCTTTTCCCTGCTGGGCTGCCTGGCCTGGCCCTGTGACCGGCAGTGAGCACCAGCACTGCCCACCCTGGGCCACAGTCACACGGGAGAACTCGTCACACGCGGCTGCCACGGGGTGTTCGGGGGTAAAACGCTCAGCTGCCACCCTGCTGTGGTAAAAACCCTCACAAGGCCATCAGGGACCGTGCAGCTGCCAGCCAAGCCAGGGGGACGGGGTGATATCAGACCTGCTTTGGGCCAGGGCCCAGGGCAGCCTGGCTGGGTGCCATCTGGCCTGTCCCTGCCGGGGCGGGAGGTCGAGTTACCCCTGGAGCACACGAGGGCAGCTCCTCTCCCTCCGTGGGGCTGGGTCAGGTGAGCTCCACTGCACCTCCTCTGGCACGTACCAGTTCCACTGGAAGGACGCTGGAAAAGGTGAATCAGAAACCTATTTTGGTTTTCCCAGTTTGGTTCTCCCAGTTTGATTTTCCCAGTTTGGTTCTCCCAGTTTGGTTTTCCCAGTTTGATTATTTCAGTTTGGTTCTCCCAGTTTGACTATCCCAGTTCGATTATCCCGGTTTGGCTATTCCAGTTTGGTTATCCCAATTTGGTTTTCATAGTTTGGTTTTTCACAGTTTGGGTTTCCCAATTTGGTTTTCCCACTTTGGTTCTCCCAGTTTGGTTATGCCAGTTTGGTTTCCCAGTTTGATTCTCCCAATTTGGTTTTCCCAGTTTGGTTTTCACAGTTTGGTTTTCCCACTTTGGTTATGCCAGTTTGGTCCCAGTTTGGTTCTCCCAATTTGATTTTCCCAGTTTGGTTTTCCCAGTTTGGTTTTCCCAGTGTGGTTATCTGGGCTGCTTGGCCGATCCTGTTTTTTCTGGGATTGAATTCCTGGGGCATTCCCAGGTGCCTCCACTGTGCTGAGGGTGGAGTTGTTGCTGTGGTGGCTGTGGCTGAGGGGAGGGGACAGGACCGAGCAGCAGGTGAAAAAGCAGCTCTGGTGACAACGACCCTCAGTTTGTGGTGTCGCTGAACACCCCGTAAGGCCCCGAGTGCTTTTGGGTGCTGCAGGAACTTGTGTTCTTCCCCTCCCAGGGGCTCCCAGCCCTGTGGCAGAGGCTGCAGGACAATGAGAGGGGAGTTTGGCTTCACTCCCTGGGGGGAGTGGGGAATGGGGGGGATCCCCAGCACTTATCTGGCAGAGTTTCTGTATTTCAGTCCCACCTTTCCCTCCATGTCTGGGGTGAACACTGAGCTCCCGGCTGTGGGGCAGGAGGGTTGGGGCTGCACAGGGTCAGCCTCTCCACAGCCAAGCCTTCCAGTGCTTCCTGCAGCACTGTGGCCTTTGAAGGCAGCAGGAATTGTACAGCTCAGGCACCCAAAGGCTGTGTCACGCTGGACGGATCCTGGAGAGATGGCAGAGGTGACCAAAATCTGTCTTTGTCCCCTCAGAGAGATGCTGTTCCAGCAGCTGCCTCCTGGTTTGGTGTGGGAGTCGAGCTGGTGTGAAGCAGGGCTGTGTGCTGAGTTTGGACACTCCTGCCTGCAGTCTGAGGGCTGGCTGGGGTAGGACAACAAGGACAGCTCCCTGGTGTCCACATCCAACTCCCTGGGTCTCCACACTGCTCGAGCACGGAGGCTGAGGTGAGCACAGAGGGGATTTGCCTTTGTCACAGCAAAGGTTCAGGGTTCTCAGACTTAAAATGGGTCATTTCTGTGTTTTATCCTCATTTGATGTAGAAGTGAGACGGTTTCATGCCCTCAGTACAACCCCTAACACACAATTCAATGGCTGGGTTACAAACACGAAAGGGGAGAGGGCCAGGGCTGGCTGAGCTGTCAGTGTTTTAGGATAATACCCTGAGGGAGAGTAAGAAAATCTGCCTGTGTCATAAATAATGCTGAATGGCTTATTTTGGCAAAGAATTTTCATTCCTGACAAATGCCATTTTGAGACAACCAATAACCACCTGCTAATTTGGGATGAAATTAGAATTGGACTCTGACATCCCCAGGTCAGCTCAGATGCAGTGTTTGGTGGGTTTCCAGCAGTCTCTCACATGGCTGATAGGAAATAATCTTTATGAGGCTGTCAAAGGGAAGGGAATGCCCAGCCTTACAAATCCTTGAGCTGGTTTATTGGGAAGGCCTATGTCAGAGGATTGCTAAGTAAAGCACATTACATAAGGCTGCCCTTTGGGTCGCTGAGGTCTGGTAACTGGCACATATTTTCAAGTCTATCAGACTGATTTCAGCAACTCCTGAATTGTCAGTACCTCTGCTTTTTGAGGCAGAAGATGGGTTTTCTCTTCTGCAGACCTTCTGTGGTTTGGTGACTGTAAATGTGCTTAAAGATGTGTAAATGTGATTCTTTGGATGTGTCATCTGCACTTTTTAGCTTGAATCTGTCACAGCACAAGCTCAGCAGGTTGTGTGGCAGCTCAGGCTCTCTCTTTGACAGGGAGGATGTTTAGCTATTGAAGGGCAAGGTAGGAAATCCTCAGCACATCTCAGTTGGCCTCTGTGATGTCAAGGCACTGAGAATCCAAACTCAAACTCTGGTTGATATAAAGTGAGAGCTAGGGAATGATATTCCCATTTGGAAAGTACATTAAAAGTACAGGCAAACCTGCTCTCCTCCCACCAGTTCCTCTTCCTGCCTTTGTTGTGCCTTCATGTCATTAGTTGCTTTCCAAGGCGTGGGGCACCAGAGGTAGTTTTATGCAGGGGGGCAACAGGCCCCTTGCCTGGTGTGTGGGGATATACTTTCAACTGCTTAGAAGCCAAACCTTTGGAAATGATGTTTGCTTTAGGTTCTGGCCTGTCCTGTTGGATGAGGCTGGACTGGGTGCTGTGATTCCAGGCCAGGTCACATCCCTGGGGCTGCAGGGTTTGCCCACCTTCCAGTGCTTGAAGAGCTTCATGTCCAGCCTCTCCCACAGGCACTTTTGCTTCCTTGGAAAGGACAAGATAGATAAGGCTGAGCTTCATCCTGATCTGCTTTGTAGAACCCCTGATGTGCTCACGTCTAACTCACAGGGTTGCCTGGGCTTGCCTTTGAAATGGCAGTGTGGCTGCCATCCTGCCCCGAGCTGGGACCATCCCTGAGGGGAGGAACACAGGCCAGGGAACACCAGGAATGTCTGCAGCCTGCAGACCTGGGGAGGGGTGGGAGCAAGGAGAGCTCTGGGTGCTCCATGGGTGCCCACCACTCTCTGCCAGCTGAGGGAACTGTGTCTGTAACCTTTTCATCCCCTGCCCTGGGTCTTTGATTTTGGGACTTTGTCTCGTTTCCTCAAGATTTCCCTCCATCAGCTCCAGGTGACTCTGGATAAATGTCTCCCAGCAGAGAGAGGCTTTACTGACAAGCCAGCCAAGTCTGGAGATGTCTGATCTCCATTTCCAGCCTGACCCAATGGTTCCTAATCCCCTGTTAGAACCTTGCACACCTTTTATTCCAAAGGATTGTAGGTGACAGAGGCTGCTCTCAGCTGTGTAACAGGAGTGCAGGCTCGTGCCTCTCCATGCTGATAAATCCACATTAACACTGTGAGCTGGTGCTGTGAAGTGCTCTGTCCATCCCTTTTAATACTCAAAGAGTTATTTTGAAAAAGGAAGGTATGTGGAGAAGCCTCATCTTTAAATGTACTTGGTCACCTACTTTTATCTGAAATTCAATTTATCTTGTCCATCAGGGACCCTACTTGTTCTCCAGGTTGGTTTTAAACCAGTTGAACTCCAGTTTCCTTTAAACCACCCAGAGCCCTTCAGCTGCGTCAAAGTTTGTAATGACTCGCTGTGAAGAGGAAACACAATCCACAGAAAAAGCTCCACTCTGACTGACCTGTGAAATGCTGAAGAATTTTGTTCATCTCAAGTTTGTCCAGCACCATTACTGGTATGGACTAAAATAATAACGAATAGGAGGCAGGTGCTCCGGGTTCCCATAAAAAAACAGATCCTCTGGATGTCTGGCGGGCTAACAGCCCTGTGACAGGCGACACCGGCCAGGGCAGGGCCAGACAGCCCCCGGGAGGGAAGGGACAGGGAGAGGAGGGACAGGGGAGAGAAGGGACGCGGGAAGGCGAGAGGAGGGAGCAGCTGAGGAGGCTCCGGGGACCCAGCACTGCCCCACCGAGCTCTGCCTGCACAGGGACCGGCTGAGCTGCGGCCGCCCCAGCGCCCGGGGCAGGAGGGGACGTCGGGTGGCACAGCCGTCGGGTGGCACGGGCAGGTGAGTGCTGGGACCTGCTCCAGACAGGGGCTGTGTTTGCTCTGAGCCCAGGTGGGTTTGAGCTCCTTGTGATCACCTTCACGAGGCAGAAAAGGTGGAGGGACAGACCCTGAGGGGGGACAGGCTCTGTGGAGGAACAGGGTGAAAAGGAGAGTGATGCCCTCTCTTTTGATTTTTTCCTATATTTCCTTTTTTTTCTATATTTAAATTTTTTTCTGTATTTGCTTTTTTTCTATACTTCCATTTTTCTGGATGGGACTTTGAGAACCTGGTCAGGTGGAAGGTGTCTCTGCCCATGGTAGGAGGTGGAACTAAACGAGCTTTAAGGTCCTTTCCAACCCAAACCATTCCAGGATTCTATGATTCCGTGATTTTGGTTATTTCTCTGCTGGATGCCAGCATAATTTTCTGACTCTAGATTACGCCTATTTCATTTTGATATTTTCATGCTGGATGAAGAGAGAGTTTGAAAGCTAACAACCTTCAGCAGGAATGGGACGGCATTCCCAGAAATGGGAGTCCTCTGGTGCATTAACTGTGCAGGCACAGGTCAGGCAGGGCACTACCAGGACAGTGCCGGAATTAATTCCGGCATCCCACACAGAAGGTGGGAAGGTGGCACATGCTGGGGCCTCTCGGGGCTCCAGGGAGAATTTCTTACCATTTATTTCAGTGTCAAACTTCCCCACACAGGGAATGAAATGTTAAAATAGCTCGTCAGGCAAGGACAGGGCTTTTTTCATCTGTTGCCACTGGCAGGTTGGGGTAGCAAATAAATAAACAAACCAGAACTGGGGGGGTTTGTTGTGTCTGGTTTGAAGCAGGGAGGGGAACTGAGAGACAGCCTTGTAACTTCAATCCCTGGTGGCATCCGAATAGCACAAGTTCTATTATTTTTTTTATTTACTGCAGGCACTGAGCTTTATTAACCCTCTGCCTGCCCAAGGGGTGGCACATGCAAAGTGGTTCCAACACACACAGTTAATTTTAGCTGGAGAAGGACATTTGGCAAAGTCCAGTGCCCATGTGGGGTCCAATGGAAGGGGCACAGACATGTCTTGCTCTCTGAGGGGGTTAAAATGTGCTTTTCTTCAGTGTCTGGGGTGGAAAGTCCTGAGGGGGGTGTGTGTCTGGTCACATGTTGATGTTTAATCACATCTTCGGTGAGTTTATATTAAACGTGTGTTGCCCGCTATCTTGTTTTTTCCATGTGGAAAAGGGCAAGTAAATTCCAGCACTGGCCAGCGCAGGTGTTGGAACATGCCAGAAGGATAGTCCTGGGAGCAGCTATCCCCAGGGAAAGCGGGAGCGTTGGGTTTATGGGCAGCCAGGCTCCATCTCAATCCTGGATCGTGCTGCCAAACCCCTCCGGTCAGTCACGGATGCAAACCTTGAACTGGTCCTGGACTGGGGAAGAGCAGGAATTCTGTGTGCTCTGGGAAGGAGGGAGCTGACCTGCAGTGTGAAGGCAGAGCACTGCTGCCTCTTGGATCCTCACCCCAGTTCCAATCTCCTCCTGCTGAGTTGCAGCTCAACGGGAGCTGCAGTGGGTCCAGTCCTGGCTCTGTGTGGGCAGGGCTGACAGACCTCAGCTCACTGCTGGCAAAGGGGCACACGGGCATTTGAGTGGGTGTGGGGGGGAATAACCAAGGCTTGGAGACTCAGTGGGTCCCTTAAATTTCTCCTGGAGGGTCCGATGTGGGTGATGTGCTGCTGAGGGACTGGGCTGAGCTTGGCTATCTCCCACTGAAGGGAGCAGCGTGTTCTCCAGACTTGGTACCTCAGCTTCATTTAAATCCAAATATTACAAGTCCAGAAGACTCACTGTGGCACCCATATGCATTGTGGGACTATTTCTGGTGCAGGGCATCCTCTTGGTCAAACCAAAGTGCTGCTGTGTCACCCCCCTGGACCATGGCCTGAGCTGGACAAACAATGTCCCTTTGCTTGCACAAGATCAGCGTGATCAGCCCTGCCAGACTCCCCTGACTCGGGGTAGGATGTTGGGTGCTTGTAGAGCTGCAGGTACTTGGTAATCTTCACTGAATTTGGACCTTTAATCCGTTTTCCATGCCCAAGTCTCTCCTTAAATGACTACAGATTTTTGGGTTTCCTTGCCTGGTGTTTGTGGGATGCTCATTGCTGTTACGTCAAGGTAGACTTGAAACGCCGAGCTCTGCACATCTTCACCCGTTACATCTCTGAATAGTTCTGCTCCAAAACCTCCCTGACATCCCCTTGACCCTCAGTGCAGTGCCTGCCTGGACACCCCACGCTGCAGGGGAGTACTGTGGCTTGGCCAAGTGACTCACATATGAGACCAGTCTTTGAACTTGGTCATTTGTTTACAAACTGGAAAATCCAGCCAGTTTTTTGAACCTACCTTGGTTTCTTCAGTTCCTGCTCTGTCTGAGCCACGTGATGGGTGCCAACAGCCTGAAGGAAGGGCTGTGCCAGTTGGAGCGGGAGGACTTTGTGCTGGTGTACCAAGGAAAGGAAAACAGAAGATCAGAAGAGTCTTGTTTCCAGTTAAATCAGACTCTTAAATTCAGTCTTGAAATAACTGTCCTGCAGCTGTTGCCTCTTGCCACTTCCTCACTGCCTTTCCTTTGGGGAACAGACTTTCTTCCAGGGAAAAATGTGTCCCCTCTGCAGTGAAAGCAGCGGCCACTGCTGAATGTGCCAGGCCTTGCTGGGACATCCTGCAGGTTCCCAGTGGCTCCTCCACTGGCACACAGGGGTTGTTCCTCCACTGGCACACAGGGGTTAACAGGGCTTTGGGTGGGCGGGTGGAAACCAAGCTGTGAAATGGAAGAAGGTCAGGCTCTTGGAGGAGTTTGCTCTGCCACAGATGGTTTTGAGTTATCTGCCCGTCTATGGAGAGGTCTCCATCCTCCCCCCCCAAGAAAACTGTAAAACCAGCTCTGGAAATAAGGCAAAGCCCGATCAGGCTCGTGGCTGCAGTGGAACAGGCAGAGTGGTGGCTCTCCTGGTACTTGCTAGACTCAACTGTCTGTCTTATGAGGAATTCCTCAGTTATTCAGAACCCAACACCTAAATGCCATTGGAGACTAAAAACCATTGGCACTTTTCTGTGGGGAACAAATTACTGGAAAGGGAAAAGAGGAACAGAAGGAATCCCTGTGGCTCTGGATGGCTCAGGCCCTTTGGGATAACTCTGCTCTTGCTGCAGTTGATGAAAGCTGAATTCAGGTTTCAGTGAAAGCCAAGAAATGTTTCCTCTGGGAGCATTCCCGTGGCCTTCACGAGGTGTTACCGTCTTTAGGGACTTGTCTAGCAACTGGTTTTATTAATTTTAAGGCTACAGCAAACAACCAACAAAGCAACAAACTGCTGTCCTGGACCAGTAAGAGCAAAGCCTAAGGAGGCCCCCTTGGGATGGTCATCGGCCAGAGCAGAGGGAGGAGGGTGCTGTGGGAATCCCACTGGGACACTGCTGGAAAACAGTGTCTGCTGCTGAGAGGATTTTCCAGCAGCAGTCTGGATTTTCAAAATCCTTGTTGTCTGATTTTCTTGGCTCATTGACTTTCAGATTGTTTGGAATTGCTTTTACTTTTGTATCACTGCAAATGTCCCAGGGGATGTGGGACTGAAGGATCTCAGCCCAGGGTGGGCTAAGATTGACATGGTTTGCTTAGGAACTGGAAAGGTAGAAACATTGTCACCAGCAGTAACAGTCAAAAAGAAACAAGGAATGAAGAAAATTACCCCAGAATTTCATTTTCACATTTATCTTTTAAATTGTGGATTGAAATGATGGTTCCCAGACCAGCAAGGGAGAAGTTTTTGAGACCTGATTGAGAGTCTTTTTTCTAAGACCAGTGGAAATGGTGCTCTCTGAGGTTATTCTGTCTTCATCCCATCTAACATGAGTCTTAGCTGTAGGACCAAGGTTTTTCTGTATGTTCCCTTCCCTGCTAACCTCAGATTTTAGAATTATCACCTCCTGGTAGAAAACCAGAGGAAAACCTTGTTCTGGTTCTGCCAGCCCAGACATCATGTGAACCATGGCCACCACAGTAAAAATACTGCTCTGGAGCCAGCCCTTCCTCCCTGAGCTGAGCACAAGGATTTAATATGAATATATTCACACAATCCAAGTTAAAAACAATGGTTGGATGCTCTCAGCCAGAAGTGAACAAAAGCAGACTTCAGACCGAGCGGGTTTTGCTCCCAGCATGTGGTGCTGCTGGGAGAAGAGAGCCTTCAGCCCCAGACTGGCCACCACTTGATAGTCAGGAACCACACAGAGGTCCCTTTGCTTCCAGGGGAGCTTCCTGAGGAGAGGAAGAAAGGTTTACAACCTGCAAAGGCAGACTGGTAGCAAGAGATTTGGGGGCACAACGTGCTTCACTTGCACTTCCAGAGTAAACCTGTCCATGGGAATCACAGGATGGTTTGGGTTGGAAGGGACCTTAAAGACCATCTGGTTCCAACCCCCCTACCCTGGTTTGGGTTGGAAGGGACCTTAAAGACCATCTGGTTCCAAACTCCCTACTCTGGTTTGGGTTGGAAGGGACCTTAAAGACCATCTGGTTCCAAACCCCCTACTCTGGTTTGGGTTGGAAGGGACCTTAAAGACCATCTGGTTCCAACCCCCCTACCCTGGGCGGGGAACCTTCCACTGGTGGAAGAAGTGGCTGCTCTCGGGAAAGGGATCAGGCTGTGGCTGTGTTGGAAGCCAAAATGGCACATTGAGGTGTCTTAGAGCTGCAGCAACGAAGATCCTCCAGGAGCAACTAGATTTCTTTCAGACCTCTTGGAACAGCACAAACTGAGAGGTTCTACTGGTGAAGGCCAAGCCCAGGCATGGTTGGCCCAAACACAAATGCAGTAATCCACTGGTTTTACTTCTCTGCTGAGGGATTATGGGATCTCCTGAGAACTCGTGGCACGTCCAACAGAACTGCGTGTGCAGCTCGTCCTTCCTTGGATCTGCACCAATGTTTGTCCTTTTTTGAGGCACAAGGTCTTGCCTTTGGAGCTCCAGCCTTGCCCTGACTGATGGTCGCGTCTGGCAGGGCTGGCCCCGTGCCATGTCCGTGCCGTGCCAAAGGCTCCGGGTTCCACGGCACCTCCCCTGGGCCGGGGCAGTGTGGGGCTATAAGGAGCCCCCCACAAGTGCCCACAGCACAGCGTGGGGACATCCTGGAGGTATCAGCAGCTCCTGAGCGCGGTCTGAGCTCTGGGACGGTGGAGAGGGACAAGAATTTGTTTCTGTTGCAATTTGGTGACATTTGCAAGGGGCTGATGAGGGGCGTGTCTTGTCTCCTACAGATCTCTAAATACCTGTGACCAGGGGCCCGCGGGGCAGCGATAAGGAGCTCTGCGCTCTGAGGCACCACACGGAGCCACCACGGTCCCAGGAGACACAGCAGCGACCTCGAGCAGGACCATCCCAGAACCCGTAAGGTAACGAGATGGTCGTGTCACCGCCGAGGCTCGTGTGGGGCTGGTGCAGAGCTGGGGGCACGAAGGGCCACCCTCGCTGCCACGGGGGACTCTGCAGGAGGTCTGAAAATGGTTGTGAATGTTATGGGAGAAGTGGGCTCCTGTAGGGTTGGGGTCCTGTAGGGTGGGTCCTGTAGGGGTGGGCTCCTACAAGACTGGGCTCCTGTAGCATTGGGGTCCTGTAGGGTTGGGTCCTGTAGCATTGGGGTCCTGTAAGGTTGGGGTCCTGTAGGGTTGGGCTCCTGTAGGGTTGGGTCCTGTAGCATTGGGGTCCTGTAAGGTTGGGCTCCTGTAGGGTTGGGCTCCTGTAGGGTTGGGTCCTGTAGGGTCAGTCTCCTGTAGGGTTGGGCTCCTGTATCCCTGGGCTCCTGTAGCACCCACTGATTTCCCAAGGAAGATGACAGGCTGTTGGGGATCTCCTGTACCTGTCCCATGGAGCTGACACTGCATTCGTGGCACAGGTACACTGAGGTTCCTAAAGGTTTTTATCTTGGGCTCATCATTTCTTTGGACAGTAAGTAGGGATATGTTATTTTTCCTTCCTGGCAGTAGGACTCTGTTGTAGATGCCCTGTGACACTTGCTTTTAATCTGTTGACTGTGTGAAAGTGCCTGTCTGTGTTACAAAAGAATTCCTGGAGGTGTTGTGGACATGGGAGGGGACAGCCTGACCTGCTTCACCTAAGGGGGGTGAATTCATTGTCCTGCTCACCCTTAGAAAATACAGCTGGTGTGTGTTGCCTCTTGGCCTTTGGCCTCAGTGCCACTGTGCTAAATAAACGGGGGCAGAGTGTCTGGTGTTTGTGTACAGGGATCAGGGGCAGAAGGAGCAGCCACTTACGTTGTGTTTGTAATCCCCGAGGCAGAGGAGAAGATCAGGGGGAGTGTAGATTTACTGAGGGGATAAGTCACACAGAATGTGATCCTTGGGCATTCCTCCTCACTCTGCACAGCACCTCCATTCATCACTGGGGAGCTCGTGACGTTCCCCCTCTGTGACCTGCTCAGAACTTTGCAGGAAGCTGCACTTCTGCAGTTGCTGGTCTTCAATCCTGTGGTTCTAACCAAGGGCTTGGAGATTGTCCTGTAGAAATGTGCAGTGGGGAGACAAGCTCAAAAGATTGCTTCAGGTTAACAAATAAACACAGAAAGCCCACCCAAAGCTAAAAGAGAAATTTTAGGTGAGAGATCCTTCTTCTCAGTGAGTACCTGGGTCTCTGGGGTAAAGCACATCTGGAATTTGGGACTAAGCACAAAACAGTTTGGTATTTTGGTTAGAAGGTTTGCTGTGTTAGGACTGCCTTGATTTTTATGAATTTTGAAGAGAAATTCAAAGAGAGATACAAAGAGAAAAGGAGGTCAGAGGAGGTTTGGGCTGGATCTCAGGAAAAGGTTCTTCCCCCAGAGGGTTGTCAACTCTGAACAGGCTCCCCAGGGCAGTGGGCACAGCCCCAAGGCTGCCAGAGCTCCAGGAGGGTTTGGACAGGGTGGGATTGTTGGGTTGCCCTGTGCAGGGCCAGGGGTTGGACTGGATGATCCTTAGGGTCTCTTCCAGCTCAGGAGAGTCTCTGATTTTATGATTCTGTGCTCCTATGCAATAGAATGCTGCATCTGTTGCTGATTCCTTTATTAATAATGCTGATTTAAGCCTGTGTCCATGGCTTTGTCCCCCCCACGTGCTGTGCTTGTGCAGGGCCTGTGGCACATCCTGTGCCTCTGGACCCACCTCCCTGTGAACCTCCCATTGCCCAGCACTTCCCCACGGGTTTGGCTAATTTTGCTCATCAGCCCCTGCCAGCAATTATGTCACATCTTGTCTGTGTATTCCACCGTCTGAACCCCATAAATAACTCCTTGTGACACCACCAGCACCTACAAATCCTGTGACTCCCAAATGTTCTGCTTCTCCGCTCGGCTGATTTATGGCCCCAGCACTGGTGTCCAGTCAGGCTCCCGGGGACAGGGCTCCTGCTCTGGCTCATCCAGACTGATGGACAGACAGGATGAGGGGCAGCCCTGCCAGCCCACCGGGCAAGCTGAGTTATTTTGGTACATTAGATATTGCTGGTAGCCAAGGGCTCGCTCTGGCTTTGCCACATCTCCAGAGGGGGGGTCTGTGCACGGAATTCCACCTGGGATGGGGAATGGCCAAGGCTTGGATACCTGCACGTGGCTAATGCACAACACTGCTGTGTTTTCCAGAGGAGTGAGGGTGTTGAGCTCCTTCCAGTGTCTCCCTGATGTGCTGGGGGTTTTGGTCCACAGCACTCCCCTGGGGAGGAGGGATTCCCTCTTGGAAGCATTTCCTTTCCTCCACTGAACAAATCATCTGATGTGGACACCGAAGTTTCAGGCACCTCTGAGTGAAGACATGACACTGTGACCGTTTTTGCTGTCTCGTTCTAAAAATCCTGTGATTTCTTTTTCTGGATTGAACTGGAGTCAAAGCACAGACATGGGCATTCATGTAACAGGGGAGTAGAAATTTTAAAAGTGAGAAGGGCAGGGTTTGATGAGCCCGTGCCAAACAGTGTGTTATTTTCTGGTCCTTATTTCACACACAAGACACCAGAAAATGTGATGTGGTTGGATTAATTACACTGAAGGAATGTTCCCTTGCATGCCCTGGCACTGTTATTTTAACTGTGCAATCAATGTGTGGCATTAACATGCTTCGTTCTCATTCTCCAGAAGTCAGCAATTCACAGCAGTTTAAGGACTCACAGCAGCTTATCTTTAATCCAAGTGAATTTCTGAAATATTTAAGACCCTGTAAACTCAGCAGTTTATCCATAGTGCACATAGTGCATGTTGTGCACTGGGAGATGCAGACATAGAGCCTGTGTACAAATATTGTTAATATTTGGGCTTTTTACTAAACTAGATTTGAATGTGGCCATTTCTCAATTGGTTTGAACTATGTTTACATATACCCACGGTCCCACAGGGCTGAGAACAACAGCCTGGCTTGAAACATTTGGTAATTTAAAATAATAATAAGATTCTTGATGGCTTTGGACCTGAGAGTTTGGACCATGTTCATGTTTCAGTGTTGATGCTTCTCACCATTGCCTGGTGGGGAGGGGAAGAAGTTGGGAGTAGCAAAGAATAAATGTAAGTGCCACATAAATAGAGCTTAGTGAAAGCTGCTGCAGGCTGGTGTCAGGTAATCCTGCTTGGTGAACATTGTAAGCACCAGGCATTCCAGCCCCAGGAGTGGTGACATGTTTAGGTGACAAGGGAGATACAAGAGGCAATAGGGGATTATGATATTTGCTGAGAGGACAAATTAAATCCATCAGAAGAGGGTGATCAAGAGCCTCTCAAAATCTCAGCCATTCACTGCGCGAAGCTCTGCCCGGGGCGGGGCAGGGTGCCCTGGAATCAGCTTCCTTTCCTTTCGGTTTTGTGTCTTTCCCCTGACACGAGCTGCTTGTTACCTTCATTTGCAAGTTCTGAAACATCTCCCAAAGGTTGACAGAGGTCACTGTAAAACCCTGTTTACAAGGGTTTGCAGGAGGAGCTGCCAAAACAGCAGCACCCAAGTGAGATGTGGAACTCCTGTGGTGGTGGGGAGAGCAGGAGTCACCCACAGCAGGGCAGGGAGGGACAGGGAGAGGGGATGACTGGCTGGTGCTCATGGGGAGAGCAGGAGTCACCCACAGC